TTCAGAAATTTAAAGCAGTTAGTTCCCTTCAACAGTTTGAAAAGCAAGGAAAGAAGACGAAGGCTGGTAGATGCATGCATTTCGCATTGTCTCCTCAGTACCATTAACAATAACCGATAAGCATAGATATAGCTAACAGTGGGTGCAACCAGACAAGCTTAAGGTAAAAAATGAATGACGGAAGTTCACACCTACGTCCAAGGCAGCTTTAGGCTGACAAAGGGCCAAAGGACTTGGTGCACACGGCAGCCAAGAAGATAGTGTATATCGAGTTACCTTTCAAAGGTGACTTAGCCACGCTGAAGACAACTAAGCGTATAATTTCGGCTACACAAGGAAGTTACTATGCTGCACAAGTTGTCGTTATCAACCGAACCCGAAATTTGCCCATACCTCCAACGAAGGAAGCTCAGCCAATTGGGGCCAACTCACACTGTGTATACCAATTTGTAGGTGACTGCGGAAAAAGTTACATAGGCAGAACCAATAGAACGCTGACTTCCCGAATAAAGGAACATGTGCCAAGATGGGTTCAACGTGAAGTTGCTCAGATTGCCTACCCTCGTCAGATTCCATGTTCGCGCAGACCGCCGGCTTCCTCGATAGGCAAACACCTATTAGACTCGGGTCACCAATTAGAGCTGGGCTCAGCGTTTAAAGTTGTGTTACGTCACACTAATCCCCGCTTCCTTCGGTTTGCTGAGGCTGTCGCAATTAGCCGGATTAAGCCAGCCTTGTGTGTTCAGAAACAATTATTTGTCAGCCTAAAGCTGCCTTGGACGTAGGTGTGAACTTCCGTCATTCATTTTTTACCTTAAGCTTGTCTGGTTGCACCCACTGTTAGCTATATCTATGCTTATCGGTTATTGTTAATGGTACTGAGGAGACAATACGAAACACATGCATCTACCAGCCTTCGTCTTCTTTCCGTGCTTTTCAGATGATATGATTTTTATTTTTTGCGCGAATTGTGGATCCTGCTGCCTACGGGTGAAAGCGGTTGCGTTGGTGATGTTATCATTCGGGAATTGTTATAGTATAACATTTCATTTGCAGTACGACCTGTGTAATTGCCGCTGCCTTACTTGTCGTCAGCACCGAGGGCCGTCGATGCGGAAGCGCTGCACCCACCTCACTATTCTCGGTTATCATCCCAACGATTGTACAGGCTACTCGAACTATCTCTATTTTGAACTATTTCAAATCGGTGGATTGCATTCCATTTCTGCTGATTTGTAGAAAACCAACCAATTAACTTCCCACTGAGCATTGTCGCTACTCCAATTTTTCGGCAAATAGGATTTCAGTTATGTTATATTCGCTTTCTAGTAGCGTGGCTTCAACACGTATGCACTCATAACTGTTGATCATGGGTCGCGGGTCAGGTTGCAGCGGTCACTTTATTCAGGCATGTTTGTGTTACTGGTAGTCACCACTACCTTCTGAATCTGGTGACGTCCATTGTGAATTCGGAGTGAGTACATACGAGTAGTAGGGGAAGTTGATTTCTAAAAGCAGAAATTCATCAAGTCTGAACTCAGTGACACAGTCATCACACCTCCGCGAAAAGCACTGTAATGCTATTTCACATCTTCGGGAACCATCAGTAGTGTGCATTCCATCTGACTTTTGTGGGACTCGAATTCACAACTAGACCGTTGCCGGTCTGTATCGAGACCACTGAGCTACGGAAGGGGCTACCCTGCCAGCTGCACGGATTGACCTTCAAGTTATACTGTGGTGCACTACTGCTGAGTAGTATGTTTTTGGTAACGCGGAGGCGCAAGAAATTCAGAGATCGGGAATCGCCGTGATAGAACGGCGCTCAATGCACAAATCTACCTTCCTCGATACGTTCTGAATAAAGGGACGCAGCGGAAGGTGAGTCAACAAGGTACCATCAATGGACCTGAGTTTCTATTTTTGATCTGTTGTGATATCTAGACGTGGGTTCTCTGGTCTGCATCGCGATGCCTTCTCGACGTTTGGATAGTGAGAGGTGCTATATCACATCCAGTAACAGTTACGAAAGTTGTTTCTGTTTTCCGTGGCTCGGTGGTCTCAAACATGGACAGTGTTTTTCTGGGCATGTGCTGGCTGTCTGACTCCCCACTCATGTTTTCAGCTCTGATGGTTTCCACACCCTTGGGTATGAATCCAACTTTTAACGCAGCTTTCCTTTATTTCGACTCACTGATGCCACATGTGACCTCAGCGAATCTGCCGCCCAAACCTATGATAGCCCAACGTACTGATCCGCTACGCCGAACCTAACTTATGGCACACAGCTACCAGCGTGTCGTTAACGTTACATGTTAGTGAAGTACTCAAATCCTGATTGTCAATGTGTGCATTATTCAGATGGAATAAATCACAATCATTCACTTTCACGGACCTTCTTGCGTGAAACAATCCACTTCAATAAAAGCCAACTATTCGCGAACTAACATTTAATGTGAAAGGGAATTAGGTAGCGTGACGTATCCCTATCAGCAATTTTATTTACAATGACCGCCTGAAATTTAGTTATTTTTACTTTTGCTTTGCTGTACTTCGTGATGCCCTGGTGAGGGTCCCCCGGGTGTTTTTAAACTCGATACCACCTTTATGTTCGCATGAGTACTTTTGATAAATAAGCAAGTAAATAAATAAATGATTTATTCTTGGCAGTGCAAGGCACGCCTGCGAAGGCATGATCATGATAACACAAACACGTATGTTCAGTAATTGTAAGATAGTATAGCATGTTAACCAGCTACATCCTGGATTTGTGTGTCAGTATATATGTACATGTATGTGTCAGTGGGCAAGGTGAGTGATCTTGTAAAGTGTGACTGAATTCGTGATTTTGTTTGCTGTGTATGCCATCGTATGAAGGAATCAGTTGAACTCTTCGAACTGGATGACGTTCGTGCAGAGGGAGTCCTTCGGATGGGGAAGGGGCAGTGACTTTATTTAGTGGCGAGTCACATACGCCACGTCGCAGTGTTATTAAACAGATATTTGTGGCTTTTTATAGGGAGGACGCTCGCCAGGCGAAAACCCACCACGTCCTGCAACACTGCCGCCGAACTATTCGCTGGAACGGAATTAACCCGAACCACCAAGCTAGCACCACGTGGAGGTTGTTCGGCTAGCCAGTTTGGTGCTTTAAATTGTGGCATACTCCGTTCTCCTTTAGAGGGTATTTAGGCCTACGCACCAGTACTTCTTCGATGTCATCGAGATGTTGGTACTACATCTGTCAACTTGGTTTTCTCTGTTTGGGTCACTTGTCATTCCCATCCGTTCCTACCATCTGCTGGAACCGTTATTTACTCATTTGGGCTGCATTGATCCATATAAAAATATATAAAATATATATTTATTTATTATTAATAGTTCCTGCCATCTCACCGTTGAGGTCGCTAATCATGCGGGTACTATGTCAAGTATTGATGCTAAGGAATTGATTTGCAGTGCTTCCGTTTAGTCAGTTATTCGTAGTTGCGGAACTTTTCGTCCCAGCAAGCACCCACTTCCTGAACTTGTTTCCTTTTCATCGCTAATTCCTAATCGTTCTTGGAATATCTACTTAGTAAATCGGCCGTTTATTGGCGCATTTTCACTTTGGACGGATTTCGTCTGCTGCGTCATTGTCCCATATGAGTTGAAACACATCTTGTCTGTTTGCTCCGCCTTCTTATTTATTTTGGCTAGAAGCCACGATAGGTGATCAGCAATACACTCGGGGCCGATACTGAAAGCCGTTTTAGAGCACCTATGGACGGCGAAACGTTGTACTAATGACGAAGCGGGCGTTACTGATTTGTTTCCACGCCCTAGTCATTTATTATAAGTTCTTTTGTCTTTCTTCATCCTTAGGCATTTTGCATCACAGTAATATTTACCTTGTGTTTCGTTTTATGATCCATCTATGATGCTACCGGTATCGTTGTCCAGTTAACTTACTACACGTTCGTAGATGGAAATTGGGTATTGCCCAACCGAAAACACTGCACAGCCACGACGCGTTTCGATGTAAGTTCATCTCATCAGGTGGAGACAGCAGGATTTGAACCCACGACCATTAGAATAGCAGCCCACACTACTACCCCTTTGGCTACCGGGTCACGATGGGCAACGCTTTTTGTCACAACGGTAAATGACTAATGCCAAATGCTAAATGACTAATGCCAATGCCAATTCCATCTACTTTGAATATGGTCCCAGTGATCGCAGTGACTAAGGTTCATTTCAATGTGAATCACAGTCCATTAAATTGAGGTTACGTGTCGCAATCCAATCACGCATCGCGTATTCCAAACTTGACCCTCCAATTACTACACGTTCGTTTCACCAGTCAGGTCTGCGTGAGATTAGCTTGACCTTATCGAAACACGTCGAACTGGTAGTTGCAGACTGTTTCGAGTGCATAACTATGTTATGGGAACAGCTATATCTTGTTTTGTGGTTTACGCGAGCCACTTTCGCCGTCTGCGTTATTTCCGACAGCAACAGCTTCTGCCGTCACTGGATACTCTTTGTCTCGACGGCAAATCCTCATGCCTTCTTCGGTTGAGCTACCTACCACGGTGTACCCATCTACGAATCCATTCCCTTTACCACTCCGATTTTGCTTGCCGCTTGCTAGCCTCCCGCTGGACTTGCACCCGAGCTCCTCGCTACTGTACATGTGAATCTAAACGATGGTGGAAGACGTCAGCTACAACCGAAATGCAGTTACCCTTTTTGCACTTGTACTCGCTGTTTTCACTGCTTTTACAACACAAGGCCGCTTGGTCGCTCTTGTTAACGCCCCATTCAGTAGAAGCGTTAACATTCGCCTCTTGGAGACTTGTAACATTTCATCTTGCTTACTCCAGTCCGACTGCTTGTGTGTAACTCTAATCGCCTCTACTGCATACTAGCCGTGTGGTCTTAGCAACAGCCCCAGGTTACATGGTGACGATTGGGATGCACTTAATAGCTTCCATTTTATCACTATTTCTCTTAAATAGGCTTGCCTACTTCGAACGCCAAGCTTGCGTTATGACTCTGAATCAGATGATGTCCGAGATGACACGGCACTATGTGGGACAAGGAATCAGACAGATGTACGTCCTGGTCTTAGGTTTGGATGTACTGGGAAATCCTTTCGGCGTCCTCCGTGGCATGGCCCAAGGCGTGGAAGATTTGTTCTATGAGCCCGTCAAGGTTGGTTTGATTTTGTTCAATATCTAGTTAATCCCTGCAACGGTGTTTGTCACTTTGTTCCTTACCAAATCTTGTTAATCGTCCACGTGGGTTTTCAACTTTATACCGACTGATTCCAGCCCATCACTCTCGGCGCATTTTGCTTACATTTTATTTTCGTTTCCTCAACTTCTACTTTCTGAGCGTCACTGCTGTCTACGTGTTTATCCCACCGCCTGCTGCTCGATCACTCAGCAACATTCGGGATTTCTTCCGCTATTGTGAGAATCTCCATTGGTATCATTTCCCGTATTCTGAGCCAAAAGAGTATTTTCTGATCGATAGCTGTTACTTCGAACCAATGACTCCTGAGCTTTTGCAAATTAAATCTCAGTCGTTCGTCTCGTCCCTGGCATCCAGACAGAGCTGAGCTGGAGGCGTCCTTTGCCCAAATGCACGGTTCTGAATGTGACTCAGTTTACATAGCTACCGATCGCTCCATTACCGATTGATCTTCGAGCGAAAGCAGCAAAAAATGCTATCTGAACGAGGTAGGGTACGGTCGACGCACTCCTTTATTAGCACTCAAACGGATCTTTGCATCCGACGCCGTTTCCATGGCGAATGGGATTCCGTCGAATAACCGGGAACATAACTTCAGCCTCATTCAATTAACAATGATTTATCACTCGTAAAAATGCAGGTGCTTGACAATTTCCGTAGAATGGTTTGAACGAAACTAAAAAATCAAAATATATGTGGATCATCAGTTTAGACTTCTGGTTACTTAGTTGCGCTCCTGCATGACGACAGTGTGAAATGCGAATTGTATGTACTTACACACCAGACAATATGGGAAAACAACTATAGTTGACGTAGTCTGCGAAGGCATAAACAGTACACCTGCACGCAGTACCGACGCTTCACTGCTGCGTAACCACCGCAAGTCGCATCTGGGCTAAAGATACTGCGAGGGTCGTTCTGCACAGTTGTCCTCGGATTACAAGGCAAGCTTGTGATCTTTAAGACTAATGGCCGGCTGTGGGAAAGATAAAATTGTGAAGGCTTACTCATATGCCTTTTGCTTGGCTCCTTATGGTATATAAATTCGCTATGGGTACCTCATGAACATCTTACACAGTAACGCTGTTTAGTTTAAAAAAAGTTCAGGAAATGAAACTGAGAACACTGAGTGGTGGTCTTACTTTGACGCCGAACTCTTAAGGAACATATAGCCTACTGTCAATGTATGAGTTTCTCATCGATATGCCTTTTGAATATTGCTAGTGGGAGAAGCAACTGGGGGAGCAACGTTCCTAGGTTGGTGCACACGAAGTGAAAAGTAATTCTGGCGATCTTCGGATCGGTTATACTGTGTGACCAGCTTTAGTCGGCTAGCTCTCAGATTGATTTTGTGATTCGATTTCAGAAAGCGATGATAAGCTTGGTCGAGATTCCTAAGGAGCTGGCATGTCGTTATCAAATCGCCACGCAGGCGTCAAATTGTCCACTGTAGACCCCAACGGTTTTCAGCCTCAGTTGTTATGAAAGATGAAACATACTGTATACATTCTTGATCACCCTTCGTTAAATTTTAAGTGCGGCAAGGTCGTGCTTGTGCCAGGGCTGCCAGGCGTGGATGGGTTATTCCAAATGTAGACTTTGAACATCTGAGAGGAGATGAAGTGCCTATCTATCCCGTTCCGACCATAATCTACTCATTGGTAAAAAGGAGCTCCAGAATACGTGGTCTGTTCTCTGTCGTGAATCTTGTGTGATGGGGGGAGTGACATGCTTGTAAAATGGTAGTTAGCTCATGCAATTCCATTTTGAATTGATCATCGAGACAGGCTAGAGTTTCTATGATGTGAAGGTTGAAGACACCAACCAGGAAAATGTGACTGTACGAGCGCAGTGCCAGTATGTCTTTTCCGAACTCTGAATATACTGTCTGTGGCTGAGCTTTTCGATGGTACAGGTACATCATGGACCGGGAGCTTCGGAGTCAAATGAAGAAAATTTCGGTTGCAGTTTTGTGGTACTGCTGCGCTGCTCCGCCTATGGGACTGCGACCGTCTTTCTGCTAAATCACGCGCCCCACTAACCGAAAGTAACTAAAATCCCAAGGTTCGGTAGACAGGGTATATTCTACAGAATAGGTCGTCTCTACTTATTAATGAACTATACATTCTAATTTTGGAAAGCATGGGCTCCCAATCTTCGACTTCTGGCCTTCAGCCAATGTGAGCAAGTTCCGTTCCCTTTGTTTGCCATACTTGGTTGAATCGTTCGCCTCCGTGTTCGACTCCGCTCAAACCCTGGACACCGGCTTGAATTCGCTGGCCAATCACTTCACGCCTGCTTCCCAAATTTAGCAGAATTAGCGAATGTGATTTCTCATCCGTGCACATGGCTTTCACACGCAGCTGACTGATTATGTGCACCCCGACAAGTTGATGCGTACCGTAGCCACTGCGCGAGGTTGCCGCTTTATGCATGTAGAGTCGCAGTTATGCAAAGGCAGAATGTCCAGAAAGTATAACTTGGCTGGCGAATTGCTTGGACTTTTTTGTAACTGTGCACATTCCGGAGCATGAGTTGCTGGGAAGGCAAGTGTGTTTATTTTGTCACAATGAACCATGTTTTGTACCAGAACAATTCATGTCCGCAATCCGAACACTGTTATGTGTTATGATACACTTGCTCCTTCCACCTGTTCTTACAACCACACAAACACGCAAATACCTCCTGGGTCCTACTTAAATGGATGAGCAACCGACAGTGAATGACTGGTTTGAGTGTCTCCTTCCTCCCCGCTCCGTGTGTGTGTGCTGTGTCAATAAAACTCATTGGTGTGGCAGTCCTTCTGTGTTCTGAATTGGGATCAACTGTGGGATCAGACCTGCCCCAGAGGTATATAACAATGCATGGACATGGACTCCACTTAGGTCCCCAATAAGTTTGACAAAAGAGATACTACATAACTCACTTGACTGGGACATTGGTATGTTTGTCCGCTTAAGTGAACTCGCGATAAAACACCTGAAGGCTACCAGGGCACTTTCTTGAAGGCACTTCTACTGAGTCGTTGAATTTTGATGACCGATAACGATAATTTCCACTTCGACTAAATTAACCGAGCATGTTCTTTGCATCGAGCCAGACGGGAATGATTGATGCATCGTAGTTTTGACCAATCCCTGGTTGACATGTTACCACCTTAACTCGCATGTGTCAGGTGTCCAAAAGCGAAACTCTGGATGTTGTGATAATGGGGTGCTTATCTATTATGGGTTGTCCAACCTGGTAGAATCGTCTTCACGACTTCGTGAAGAGCAGGGTTTTCACGTATACGAGGTGGTTATGATCTGTATATAGGTTGGAATCATTTCTGTTTACATGAACAACAGAAGGCAAAAGATGCACAATTTTACCGGTTTTTCTTTCTGTATTGACCTTCAAGCGGCACATTAATTTTGTGTCCATGCAACAGCAGTTGAAGACAGAATACTGTGGGCCCGGCCTCGCGCACTGTAGCATCTGCGAAACAACCCTAGTTGAAATGGCGCGGTGATCATTGGAAGCCCATTAAAAGACAACTTACCGCCAGGCTCGCAAACTTAACCAACGTTCGCCCTAATCATTAAAAGGAGTGGTATGTCTGCCAGCGGTAAGACTTATGGTAGTGCGCCATGGCAACTGCACCTTAACCGTTTGTGTCCTGGGGTAGTTATAAATACCACTGTTTCAATTGTTATTACTGCTTCAGTGCAACCGCCGTTCCTGCCAGTACTCTCCATACGTACAACAGCCTTCTGTCAACAATTAAGTAGAGGCCAAAACACCGATACTTCTCTCTACATTGTGTGGAGTAAACTTTTGTGGTTCATGTCGAGTTGTAGGTAAATTACTTCAAGACTCAAAGGGTTAAACACGGTGCAGTCTGGACATGCAGATCAACATCCGTGTACTTGAGACCATACTTGTTCGAATCCTGTGTCGGGCTGCGTTGAATTATCATATTCCACTTAAATGGTTTATCAGCCCTCAACAACAATGGAATCAGTTAACAGAGCAGACGTCAAGACGGACAGTTGAAACAGACTTAAAGGGATGAAAATTTAATTGCGAATGACTTGCTTGTTTTCTGCCCAACAGTGTACACCTAGTCCCTGACAGCACGCGTCCCTCAAAACGCAGTGAGAAAAATGTTACGCGCAGACATGATTTAGTCACGCTTTTGCGAGTCCTCTCAAGATTACTTCCCACTGAGCACCCTCCTGTCAAACTAGGCTATTTGAGAAGCGCGCAAGCCATATAACTTGGAAGACACTTGCATGGTACGATGTCGTTTGAGCGTTTCATGACTTCGCCCCCAAAACACCGTTCTGAGTCCGAAGCTGTTTAAGCTTATGTTTGTTTTTTGATGGCCAGTGCTGGAGACTCCAGTAAACGGGCGTCAGACTGATGTCATTTTGAAAATTCCAAATACTCCAATTTTGTCTGCGACCGTTTTGTGTAGACATATTACCTAACAAGGCGGTAATTCGCCATGCTGTTGTTCGTTTTGTTACGCACTCTTGTTAGTCTGATCACAGTGCGACACTACTCCCGCTTCTGTTCCCACTTTAAGTCTTCCACTTGTTGAGACCGATGTTGATGCAATTGTTTTTCATTCGTCGTTTACCAACTTCTTCATAGATTCACTCGTGTATTCGCACACCCTGGTCACTGCACCTGCCTGTCTGCTCATTTTTCATAAAATTCAGTCAGCTTATGCACCAAGCCCACCCAATGACTCTTTGATTGGACCCTTACTAATTCAATAAGCAAAGTTACCATCTCACCATTCAAATGACTGATTGTCAGCGCTTTCTCATCGACCGGACCCTCTCACGTAGTCCGACTATGCACCTCACCAACATGTACCTTGAATCTTCGGGTTCACACAATTTGCATTGTTTCCTGTCTTGGTTTAGTGCACCCGCTTTCATTCCCTTTTGCTTGCTGCGCCTCATACTTTGGAAACAGAGCCACCGGCACACATGACTCAATGTAGTGCCTACCTTAATGAGGGTCTCCTCCAACACTAGCATACTTTTCTATTAAGCTTACGGCGGTAACGCCGAACTTTCATTCATCTTGAATTCGATACCTTCGTGGGTTTGTCCATTTAATTCCTTTTAATCATCCTGCAGTTTCTGCATATTGCTCCACTCGAACTCCAGCTCTTCACCTGCTTACCGTATCAAAGTAAAAACACCTTAATCTGTCTCTCATCAACAGAAGCCCTGATTCTCACGTCGCACCGTTTATTTCCCATGCATGCACAGACAACCACAACAACTGCACTTCACTTTCAAGCGCTAACACTATCACATTATCGTATTTGTTGAGTCTAACCTCCCTAACATAACTTTCAGGGCGCTATTCTTGGACCTGAGGAATTCGCTGAGGGAGTTGCTCTGGGCGTGAAAAGTCTCTTTGGACACGCTGTGGGTGAGTGGTGCCATTAAATATCTGAACAAATGACATTCTTCTGTAACAACACGAGATACGGATCCGTTGGACCCGGTGCGGTCACTGTGTACCGGCTTCTGCAACCACTAGTTGTTTTCCGCTGGCTAGAAAACTCAGTCGGAATCAAATATTTCCTACAGAAATGCATTGGGCGTTTATTCTGTTAATTCCAACGATGCTCCGTGACCAATTGCGGCCTTGGAAGCTGTAACAATAGCGGAACTAATAAATATGGGGCGAACACTGCCTAGGGGGAAAAACATGAACTAAAACATTGCTAAGGTTTGCAACTGATGCTGGCATGCATTTTAGAAGCAACGTATAGAGACAATGCGGGAAATCCTATGGTGCGCTGAGGCTGGTGGTGGCTATATGCCGACAGCTGGTCTACCCACCGCTGCTACTGTCGTGCCATAGGCTCATGTCCTGGGCGCATGCTCATGGCGTCCGCTGGGTGTGAGTTGGGTTACGCCCTTCTCCCTACTAAGATCCAGGACACCAATCCGCATGACTCATTGAACTGACCATGTGCTGGACCCACTGCCTTTCGGGTGTACATTTAATCGAAGGTTTTCGCTGAGGATCCGAGTCGTTCTGTCAGGTGTGGGCGCACTACCAGTATCCTAGTCCATCCTCTTCGGAGGTTAGGAAGGGGTCAATAGCCCTCTTCCCATGAAACCTAGCCATGGGAGACAACAAGTCTACAGGTTATAAGATCACAGCTCAATTGGCGTAGAGCACCAGCGCCACGCATTGAGTCTGACGGTCGGAGGGCACCTCCGGGTGCTCAATGGTTTGTTACTGTCCGCCTCAAGCCGGGCAGCCCCTGCTCAAATTGGTGCAAACCCACCTGCGTCTAGCCGTCGTTGCAAACGCATATCCCACTACGGTCGCAAAACATATAGGAATCTTTTCAGCGCCTCAAACGCTGCGTGTGAGGAACTTAAAGCGGATCCCAACCTGTCTGTGCAATCACATTCCCGAGCTGGATGTACTCCCCACTGCTTTGTACGTCAGGCTATTGAGTCAAAGGCTCCAGGTGGAGTCCCTGAAGCAAGCCTCCGAAGCACAACCGTCACCTCGCATGCGATTGCCCACCAATGCAATCGTATGCCTGCGCGCAATGCACTCAACATCGGGTGCTGGAACGTGTACACACTACTGGACCGAAACTCGTGTGAGCGCCCCGAGCGACGCACTGCTCTGGTCTTGATGATACTGGCGTAGTACAACATCGATATTGTGGCGCTCAGCGAGACCCAGCTCGCTGAGCAAGGTAAGTTTCATGAAACTAGTGCTGGCTATAGTAGGCGCGAAACGCCACTTCAGCACCACGTGAACATAGGGTCGGATTTGCACTGACCGCTCGCCTCAAAGGCCAGCTGGTGGTGAGCCAACGGACATTAACGCTCGACTGATGAGTTCGCCTATGACTCGGAAGTGGTAAGTATGCCACTTTTATATGCACATACGTTCCGACCATGTGCTATCCTGATGACACGCGTGATCAATTCTACACAGCTATCCTACGTGATGCGGTCTATGCCGAAGAACGACCGACTATTTCTGCTGGGTGATTTCAACGCGCGCGTTGGGCATGATGCATCGGTGTGGACACATGTCATCGGTCCGCATGGCATTGGTTCAGCGAATGCGAAGGGTGACAGGCTGCTCTTACTGTATGCCACTCACGGCCTGACGAGCACGAACACTCCGTGTGCACTGAGTGCGAGTGATATAGCAACTTGGACGCACGCAAGGAGTGGTCACCCTCACCTGCTCGACTATGTCATCGGACGTCAGCGTGATATGCGTGAAGTGCGCATGACACGTGTACTGCGTGGAGCTGAGTGTGTCACTGATCACAAATTGGTGCGGACCAAACTGTACATATATTTTCGTAAATCTATATATTGCACTCCTGCCATGAGTCGGCATAAATTTAACATTCCCTCGGTACTGTGGAGAACCGAATTGAGGTGGAGAAGGCGGTGGCTGCACGCCTGTGTGATGTGGACTGCATAGCCACAGTGGGCGACCTGTGGCATTACCTTCGCGATCAGGTGACAGCTGCTGCCGAGGAGACCATCGGGCGCGCAAACTGTAAGCGGGCGGATTGGTTTGATGGGAACAATGTGACGATTGGCGCATTGGTGTCGGAGAATGCTGCATTTGCTGCACATGTGGCAGACCTCATTGACTTTGGAAAAATAAGTAGGTTTCGCAAACTTCGATGACGAATGATCCGAGAGATCCGTCGCTTTAAAAATGCATGGTGGACTGAGAAGGTGAAGCAGATGGAATGCTACGCCGAACGCCGCAAATACAAGCAATTCTTTGCTTCCTTGAAGGCGGTGTGTTCACCGAGGTTGGAGCCACTGAAGACGCTACTGGATGGTAGTTCGGACGCTGCCTGCACACAGACTGCAGACATAATGCAGATCTAGCAGGAACACTTTAACTCTCTCTCTCGAACAATCGCCCAGAGATTGACTGGCCTAATTTTGAACGACCAGAAGCAGCACAATATGAATGCGAGTCTGGCGGACACGCCGACACTGGATGAGAGGCACTTGCTCAGCTGCAAAACGGCAAGTGTGCTGGGGCCTGAAGTGATCCCGCCTGAAGTGTTATCCACCGCGGACCTGCATTAGTGACTGCGCTGCATCACTTGGTGCAAAGCGTATGCATTGAGGAGGAGGTGCCTCCTGAGCTGAAGGATGCGCTTGTGCTAACACTGTACAAGAGCAAAGGGAGCAAGCAATGTTGCACGAATTATCGTGTCATCAACTTGCTGAGTTGTGTGGGCAAGATGATTGCCCGATAGCTGCTCAATCGCCTCATCAGTCAGGTTGTGGAACCTAACTTGGCTGAAGAGCAATGTGGATTCCGTTCGGGTCGCAGCACTATAGATATGGTGTCTGCGGCTCGTCAGTTGCAGGAGAAGTGCAGAGAACGACACCAGCCATTGTACTCCCATTTCATTGATTTCGCCAAGACATTTGATACGGTGAACCGCGAGGCATTGTGGCTGGTGTTGTGTAAGTTTGGTCGCCCGCGTAAGTTTGTAATTTTAATTGAATGTCTGCACAGTGGTATGCGAGCGAGGGTGCCGCTGACTGGACAGACCTCGGACGACTTTGCAGTTGTCTCTGGTGTGAAGCAAGGCTGTCTTAGCTCCTGCCTTGTTTAATATTTATCTTCATGCAATGTTGTCTTGTGCTTTTGATGCGACTTGTGATAACGATGTTCGTGTGGAGCACCCTATTAATGGTGGGTTGCTGAACATCCGTCGTTTCGGTGCGAGAACTCTAGTCTGTGAGACAACTATGCGTATGTTGCTGTTCGCTGACGACTATGCGTTGTTTTCACCCAACGCGGTAAGTTGCAACATACGACTAGTGCTCTGGCTTCTACAGCGGCCAAATTCGGGCTCACCAACAATACAAGCACAACTTTCTGTCTCTTTCATCCTTCACCGGAGGTGCTATCTACAATGGTGCAGCGAATCAGCATTAGTGCTGAAGTGTTGGAAACCGCCTTTTGTTTCTGCTACCTGGGAGTGTGATGTCGACTGACCAGTAGCTACACAGCGAGCTTCATATCCGCGTCTCGAAGACGTCGTTGGTATTCGGAAGCTAGTGTACCGAGTGTGGAACAACCATCAGCTTACCGTTGGCACGAAGCTGATGGTGTACAAATCCATGGTATTGTCCGTTCTTCTATACGGCAGCGTAACGTGGACGATGTACCGGCGAGATGTGCGATATCTCGAGCGGTTCCATCAACATTGTTTGCGACGGATTCTGCGCATCGGTTGGTGCGACAGAGTTGCAGACACGGAAGTGTTGCGTCGAAGTGGGATGTATGTACTTTTGCTGAGACACCTGAGGTGGGTCGGTCATGTGTGGCTTATGATTTTGTCGCGGATACCGAAGCAGCTGTTATATGGTCAGCTGTGTTTGGGGAAGCGGAATGTGGAAAGGCCGAAGCTCCGTTACAAGGATATCCTCAAAGTGAGTCACGTTCCAATCTTGATTGCAGGTCATGGGAATCGAAGGCGGTTGATCGGCATGAATGGCCCGATCTGATCACGAAGGCGATTGCCGACGTGCAAGAGAAAGCCCTCATGCATGCGGAGAAGAAGCGGCAGTTGCTGATGGGTTGTACTCCATCGACATCGAGCGCATGATGCTGTAGCACTTGCGGTCGCGAGTGCCTGAGTCATGTAGGCCCAGTGAGCCACCACAGAAACGAGGACGGGTCCTGCAGCGAAGGTAGGCAGAACCGGCGCAGCGTTTGTAGGTACGCTGCATTCGATTTACTAACTGCATGCTTGCGTGCTGCGTCTCTTTATTTCAGATGGTGGGTTTGCTGTATGGTCCTAATGCATTTTTTATTTCGTATTAATGCCTACTTTAAGTACGCTTTATTAACTTGTCACATCGCTTAAGCTAATTGTAGATAACTTCGATAACATTTTCGCGTTTATGGCATTTCCTTACTATGTATTTTATGACGTCTTCGACCTATCGCGGATTTGTTAGCAATTGATTTATTTCATTTCATGTGCTCATTTGGTGAAGAGTTATGTCACCATATCTGTATACATCCTTCGATCTATTTTATTTGACACCGTTGTCTCAAGTGATTGACTGTTGGTTGATAACTCCGGTGTGGCTGCGCTTGATGTGCATGTTGACAAGGTGCCTACCTGTCTTACCCACTACCTCGTCCATACTGGCTCTAGAAGACAGTTGGTCGTTGCTGGAGGGGACGGGGTGCACGGTTCTTGTGACCGTGTTAGGCTCGACGAGTGGTTCCATGCACTCAATGTGGAGCGGACTACAGTCCAGCCACCACCTTGTGTGCGCTTGCTTCCCAAATACAGTGTGCTTGTGTTTGTCTGTGAAGGAGTGTGGGCCGGCTCCGTTGATGAAACGTGGCTCCCATCCGCATACCTCGCGGTATTATTCCTTCGGATTTACACTGGATATGGGGTGTGTGGTTGGAGCTGTGGGTGGTGCAGCGCAAGCCACCCATGGTCCCTCTGTAGTCGCAGGCGTCCTGTGGTTATCCTCTGGAGGTCACAGTGGCACACAAATCCGGCTACGGATGCCGCCAGCCATGTGACCTGATGAGGATTTTGGGAAAAATATTTCTAAGCTGAAGTGAGGGCTTAGTTATAACTTGCTCTACAGCAAATGCCTGTGGTTGGCCACAATGACAGGCAAATCCGAAACCGGATGCCGCCAACCTTACAGAGCATGCAACGTACTCAATCTGGTACGCGGAATTTTTTGGCGAACAGTATCGGAAAATAGTTAGTGGAAAATACCTCCCAGATACCCCTTAAGGCACCTTCGATGGCGCTTTTTGTAATAAGCCGATTCAGTGCAAAGCATTCTGGTTACGTGATTGGTATACTGTTAAAATTATTGGAGCCACCAATCCGGTAAGCCGGATTGGCTTCCAAGCTTGTGTATGTCAATTATCCTCTCTTGGAGCAACTCGTAAATGTTTCCAGATATGACGGTTATGATCGTGTTTGCCACTACATTTTAATGGTTCTTCTAGAGATAGTAAGGGAATAAGGCCAGGTAAAGCTGTACTACCTCGGTGGGTGAAAGTAGTAATAGGAACTGGATGCTCAACGCACCGGCGGTTCCACGAGAGAATGATGATGTGAAAGCTCCGATGGAGTTGATGTGAGCCTGTGGGAAAAACTACTCAGCGGAATCTGGCTGCCCGGTCAGCCAATTTCCTGGTGCTCAACTAGCACATGTTAACATTGGAGCCAATCAAATTTAGTTGAAGCGCTGAGAACTATGGTGAACTACAGGGGAGAAAATCGGACCTGGGTGTCCAACCTATCGATGTGGCCAACGATGAAATTTTAGACCGGCTAAGTCTGATGCATGTTATGGGGGAGTGAGACGGGTTGCAGACCTGAGGTAATGGTTCTAAAACCACCCAGAACTCTAACTGCATTACCGTCAGAAATTTGTTGAGCCTTTTACGAACGCAGTACTCTGAGGTGCTGAGACGAATGTCGTCCAGCATCTTGTTCCCAGAATATCTTGTGTTTTGATTTGGAACATTTTCGCCAATGTGTTTTATTTGATCTTTATCCCACTATAAAGTTTTCCTAACCTATGCATTCTCGTTTTGATACTTCCAACTCCGTTTTCACCCGTCGATATCTTCCAACACACCACTTTCACTTGTAGGTGGAGCTGCGGGTGCTGTATCTCGCATCACAGGAACCATCGGTAAGGGTGTTGCCGCGCTCACGCTCGATGAGGATTACAAGCGCCGACGAAGGGAGCAGATGGCTCGTAGGCCTGACAATTTCGGTGCCGGTTTGGCCCAGGGTGGTCGAGATTTATTCATGGTAAGTAAGTCGTTCCTGGGGGGTTTCTTGATTGCAATGAATTAATCCGGGTTCACCGCCAAATTAGTTGTTTGCTTTACTGCGCTTACAGACTCCTTTGTGATATCTCATCCTGCTTTTGTTTAACAAGCCATTTTAATTTGATCATATACGCTGCGTTTGTTGCACACATCTGAGTGTCAGACACTGTTCGCTGGAGCTTGGCAATTGCGCTGCAAGCGTTTCTTTACCAGACCATGTGGCACCACCAGTACGTTAGTGCGTAGCGTAGCGGATTGGTGCGTAAGTGAGATAGTGGTAGTAACGCACATGCGCCATCGTCATTGATCGTTCTGTCAAGTGACCTTTGGAAATATCCTCTCCGAATCATGTCTCGTGACCATGGTCCATTTTCCTCCGCGGCTGCAAATGTTGCCTCACTTGTGCGTATGATTCCCTCTCCCATTTGGTGTATTCGACTGAGTTGTTGATTCTTTGCTCGTAGCTTTGTGTAGCTGACGTCCAACTCAACGTGTCGATTGGTATGATTGTTGTAAGCAATCTATGCATTCTCTTATTTGTTTCGTATTTCCACGTGCGTGCACGCGAGTGACTACCCGTTTCACATTTACGCATCGCTCCGCTCCGATACACACCAACGAACTGATGTTGTCGCATCTACTGGTGACGAAACATTTGAAGCAGTATTGCTGAACACAGCAAACGGTTCGTCTAACGAATGCGCTACATGCATTTGCTTCCATATCATATCTGACTATTTCGTCCTCGTTTGTGGGTATGTTTTCACTCTAGGGTTTCTTCCACGGGGCTACCGGTGTGGTGATGCAACCGGTTAAAGGAGCGAAGAAGGAGGGTGTACAAGGATTTTTCAAAGGTACGTTTTAGGATACTCGTCGCTCATAGCGCTCCTTATTCCCAAGTTTAACTGCTTTACTGCATAGACTATCGTTCCCTACATTTGCTCAGGTGTCGGCAAGGGTCTGGTCGGCGCGGTTACTCGTCCAGTCTCTGGCGTCGTCGATTTCGCAAGTAGCTCCTTTGAAGGGATTCGTAGGCAAGTTATGTGTAGTAGCGCGCCTGGAAAATTTATTGAACATTCCATTCATTGAATCATTTACACATCAGTAATCACCGCGCTGTGCTGCTACCAACTGTCACTCTGTATTAAGCATGCTTTCTCCACCTATAACTATGGAGGTTATGTTTCTACTGCCGTTGTCCATTACGATTCCTCCAGTTTTCTTCCTCCTGTCAGTGCGCGTTCATCTACGTTCTAGCTTGCGCCCTCACAACCCACCTGACATCATTTTTCCCTTCGGTTCATCGATACTCACTGCATACAATCTATCTTACTTGGTTACTGTCTCATTTGAACTCATTAACCCAACCGAGGGTTGAATTGCACCTCCGGCAGAGTCTAACGCTACTGCGTCTATTCCTGTTAGGTCCGATAACTCACGTCATAACCGCTGTCACTGACTAGTTTCAGGAAATCACCGATTTTGTCTTACAATTAGCAACACACTCACCAATGCTGGATGGTTCTAGATTTTCGTGACCTGTGGTTTTTACTTTTCGGTTTACAATGAATACCTAAACCAGAAACAGAAACCGCATAGCACACTTCTATTCTCACTGAACTTCATATTAGAGTTTTGCCCTCTCCGTCTATCACAGCGCACCTTGTTTCTTATTTCAGCGGTGTTTTCAGGCGCTCATCATGGGAAATCCCACTTAAAATCGTGAGAACACCTCTGAAATGCCACTATCTTACAGCAGACACACTAGCCCCTTCATTACTTACCGCTTCGTTTCACGTAGTGATGCACCGTAATGAGATTCCAATTTGAATGTCGGGTTTTGGAGCGCTCCCCGTCTGTCTTTGATTGCGATATGCAACTTCAATTGTGGTCTCGGTTAACTTTGAAGCCAGCCTTTGCTATTCCGATCACTGGGACCGTCAACGAAGGGGAGAGTTCGGTTTCGCTCCCTCCAATTACTGATCGGAATAACAGAGGCTGACTTCAAACTCAACCGAGGCCACAATTGAGATTGCGTGTTGCACTTCAAGACACACGACAGATGCTCCAGAACCCGAAAATCAACTTCCTAACCGCTGTAACAAACATTGCTCGCGGAAGTCAATAACCTAGTGATCATGGCGATAGCGGTCAAGCACTATGCGCCGAGTTCCAATCCCAGCTCAGCTATCTCTGCCTGACGAGTCTAAAGAAAGACGAAACCGTCGGTCTTGGAGTGCAGGTGTGGGAGAGAGCCACACCGAATCTCTCCACTTCGGTGACGGTCCCAATGACCGTATTGGCAGAGGCTGACTTCAAAGTCAACCGAGGCCACGATTGAGATTGCGAGTTGCAATCCAAGACACATGACGGGTGCTCCAAAACCCGGAACTCTACTAACCGCTGTGTCAGACACTGCTCACGGAGCTCAATCGCCTAGTGATCATGGCGAAAGCGGTCAAGCACTATGCGCCGAATTCCACTCCCAAATCAGGCTGTCTCTACCCGACAAGTCTAAATCAGGATGAAACCGGTCCTCCGTGGAGTGCAGTGATATGAAGAACAACACCTACGGTTCCAGTTTGCTCACTTTGCTACACAGAGTAACATTCTATTGGGTCTAACCTTGGCATATATCATGTAGTATTTATCTCAAGCTGGAACGACGTTCGTTCCATCAGTTTGAGACCGTGGGCCTAAACTCCCGTCTTAAGTACCTCATTTCATAATTACAGGTCGCTTGTTACCTCCGGAAGATAAGGTATTGCGTTTAACAGGAGTATTTGGAGAGTATTTGGTTACCAGTAAAAGCATTCACATAAAACGCATCGACCGTTTTGTATGTGTGGGATATAGCCCGCCTTATGAGAAGAATGTGCTTTTCCATTGCTTTAGAATACAGTACGGCTTATACAAACTATTCTGAATATCTTATCATCATCATTACACATAAGCTGAAGGTGAGAAACAGGTTTCAGCTATTGGGCCGCAATAAATACAGATAAGACATATGAAAAAATGATGCTGAAAAAACAGGCGATAGGCTATTTAGTAACATAGTATGCGTCAAGTGGGAGATCGTGGTTGGAGAGGGAAGATAAACAGAATGGGGTGGGACAAAGAAACTCAACACAAACGCCATTGAGGTCGGTTCCTTGCCATGTCAATTAGTATATCCAACCAAACGTGTTCATCGTCCTTTGGACCCCCCATTCTGAATATGTAATCGACACTAATGTCCTCTGCAGAAACTCTTCTTCCACTTCCACCACTTCTGGACTGCAAATCCGCCTGGACCTTAACTTTAAATGGGTATCCCCACTAGTTTATATAAATGCTTTAATGAATAAGTCTGAACTGTTCATCCAGGGGTAAGAATGAACTTTTCTCACCTGCTAACAGTGGGGTAATACACTACGCTGTCTACCTACCGTGCTCACCGCGAGGTTTGATGCTGTTGCTCACGCGCACGAGCTTGTCGCAAATGCCTTGTACCTAATCTGAACACACAATAGCAAGTAATCCCTCCTTCAAACACAACCTTTATGTCTCTTGTTTGGTTGATAATCTGAACTTTTAGCTTCTAGCAGACGCTGATCAAATTGGGCTCGATACCACTAGGTAGATTAGTCATCAGAGCTATTTCAATGTTGCGGCTTTTCGTTGCATAACTCGTAACACTCTGATACTTCATGCTTAACCACTCGGCCTTATACGTTTGCGGTTCACCGAATCGACCACCTGTTGCTCGCTCTCTCTTCACAAATCTAATTGACCCGTTTGGAAAGGTCTGTACCCACCTGGACTGATTTTTTTTAAGCTGCAACCGACGCACTTATCACTGCTTACTTTCTAGCACAGTAGTTGCCCTCTACTGCATTTGCTATCAAACGACCCCACTTATCCATTTGGATCGGAAACGTTTTCCTAAAGCTAACCGGTGTTACATATGCATTATGACCAACCTCAGTGTAAAAATTCCTCTGGACCAGGAAATCTATGCTCTATGTTGTGGAGCTGAAAGCACCATTTTCGAAATGGCATTAGTGTCTTTAAGCATTCGTACCTCTACTTCTTCTTCAGAATTGCGGATATTGTTAACGAAATTGGCCGCATTCGACCACCAAGGTACCTTCGGATGGACGGGGTTGTTCGGCCGTATGAGCGACGAGAGGCTGAAGGCCATCTCATTTTGCGTGTAAGTGTTATAGTTATCTCGAGAGAGTGTGCAATTGATGATCATTTTCCTCAACTTTTTTCTTGTCTATTATTTAGCAAATAGATAAAGACGCAATCTACGGACACTATGTCTATCACATCACGGCCACTCGTGGAGGAAAAATGCTTCTGTTGACCACGAGGTACGTTTCACAGGCTATTGATTTGTTTCTTTTTGATTAGATTGACTCGATACGTATCTGGTGACATTGGAATTCATAGCTTTAGTCCGTTACTTTGTACCTTGTGCCGGTATGGGTGAACTTGCGAGATTTCACCATTCTAGACTCTTACTAGACTGCCGAACCTCCTCGTACTCATGGCACAGTGCGTAGTATCGCGACGCTTCTTCGCCCTTTGAATTCCGTGAACCCCACAGTCTCAGAGTTCTAACGCGTTTCTTCGCACATTGACTCGATCATGTGACCGGCTGACATCCACGAAGGCACCGTACAGCCGTTCCCGTCATCTAACGTTTACCAGTGACATCTATTCCCCCCAGAGGTAGAGAGATTCATACCGGTTACTATGCTCTCACCAGGTAGTGGCTAAAGCGACTCGGTTGTGAATGATGGTGCAATTCCACCTGATTAAAATGCTGACTACTATATGATACGGGTTTACCTTTCATTGCCACCTAGGAGCATGTTAAAACCCACACACTTCGAGGAGAATCCGCACTACTAAGGGGACTTACACGAATGAACCGGCCTTTCATTCCTTTCCTGAAGATATCGTCTGTCCGATTGATATAGACTAAATTGACTCTTCATTCTAAGTTACGATGCCCCACCACTGCTTCTCAGAGCATGGTAATCACCCCTACTAGATGCCAACACTATGCGCTGATTGGCGTTTAAATGTGGAAATTTCCCTGGGACGAACCCCAGTTCATGCGTGCCCGTAATGTGTATATTAATGAACTATGGGTAGCGTTACATAGCAACACTGACCTGGTCACTTTGGCTGCCATCGTCGCTGGTGACTCAACAGCTGTGATCACTGCCTCGCAAGAGTGGGTCGCGGATCTGATCGCACGTCTTTCGGGAAGGGTTCACATTCCTTACGCATTCTAACCGAACGAAACAGCCATCCAGTGTTTTACTAGATGTGCGTTGACTGTCTACCTGACTATGTCTGTGATAAATCTTCGATATATGTGCCCGAATTTAACACTACTGCTTTTTCAGTTTATTGTGACTAGTCGCATTATGACATGGATCTTTGCAAATATGCTCGCTATGAAGCTAGACTTCCATTTGAGCACGATAGTTTGCTTACTCCCTTGACCCGTTGAACTAATCTGGGTGACAAATCCACGCACTCAGAGTCACTGATATCGGCGGCGTCCTCCCCATCAGAGGCTGGTAAGCGACCGATGACCTACTCTCCTAAAATTCCCGTCACGGATAAACTCAGTTTAATAATAATAATAATAATAATAATAATAATAATAATAATAATAATAGTAATAATAATAATAGGTATAATTCTCATCGAGTGAGAAACCGTGGCCATATTTGGCAGAGATCATATTTTACAGAATATATACTCATGCTTATGTGCTATTCATTGCTTTTGCAGTTTCAAGGGTTTGTATTAACTCACAGGTGTGTTTCAACGCATTGAGCACTAGTTGGAAGAGTGAATGGTAACAGCACTAGGGGTGTGCCAAACAGTATGAAATTTCTCATTCATTATTTGTTGCCTTGGCACGTATCATCAAGTGATCTCTCCCAAGAGAACAGGGTCATTATCGTGTTCAAATCTAGGTAATTGGGGAGCTTAACTCCAAAGGCCGTTGCGCTCTCACACAGGATAGCATATCTGATAAGGAAAAAGTTGGGCCGCAGATTTGCCCTGCACCTGGGTACACTCAGGGTAAACTCCTTATTGCGTAGTTCCCTTGTCGAACTATGTTGTAATTCTAGGGAGAGCAAATAGCAGTGGGCGTTTTGATGAATCATGTTGTACAGAAACATCAGGTTATGTTTCCATCTTTGTAGTCAAAGCAGATCGAACTGGAATTGTTGGCAGTGCTCCCGATAGTACTTAGTGGATGTCTTGCCTAGCAGACGTTTGAAAAACGACCTTTGTATGCTTTCCAGTGTTACTCTGTCAGATTTCCTCATGCTACCGAAAATGATACTGCAGTATTCCAAAATGGGGCGAGTGAGAAATTTGAAGAGTTCTACTCCGACTGCGGTTATGTGGATCTTATGTAATATATTAGCCCTTGATTTTCTGGCCCTAGCCATCTGGTATTCCACCTGTTCAGCAAAATTAATGGTGCAAGGATACCTGATTCCGAGGTCCCAGGTAGACAGCTGTACACAAAGGTGTTCGCCGTTGTGTGTAATTGATCCATCGGGTATCGAACAGCCGCGTTGAATGATACTAGATTTTTTCGTCGAGAACTTCATCATCCAGGTATCACACCATTTCTCAAGGTAGTGGAAGTCTTCATGTATGAGCGGTAGTGTATCTTGAAGTTCAGCTCGTCGGAATTTGCAGTACGCAAGCGTAACTTATGTGTATTCAATTCAGTTTTGCCTTTAGTCAATAAAGTACCAACTCACCTTCGGTAGACCGGGATACCGGAAATTTTTCCGGTTGTTTTAATGTTCTGTGTGTCTGATCCCTGCTGTTCAACTTTCGAACTTGACCTCCCACCTGCTTTGTTGGCTAGACTATTGAGTCGTCTCTCATGCTTGAATCCCTTCTCTGTTCAAGCCATTATCTTGTGAACCAGTTCGAACATCAGGCAACGTTGGCTCTCGTTTTTCAACCTCTCGGGTACGAAACACGCATGCTAGACAGTACCACGGTAACAAACCTTTGACTGCTTAAGTTAAGACTGTTGACCGTGGCCATATTTATGTCTTTGGTGATAGGGAGCCGTTAGGTCAAGGTATTTGCCTTGTCGGTACCGTCCCCAGCAAAAGTGCTGAAGATGACCTACTTTAATGGATCACAGCGAATACCCGTGCTTGGGGCGTTTACCTCCGACCTTTTATAGGGAGTTATATGCACCGTCAGAAAATCAAGTACATTCTTATCGCTTCCATGTGCACTCCAGCCAGCTGCAGCTCAGAGATTATCAAATGTGGATTCCATCGATTGGTTCTCTTACTTTACAGGAAGTATCGATCATTACTGATGATAAATTTGTCAAATAGGTCGCTTACCAAATTTCGAACAACTATTGTCACCGCATTTCAGACTCGATGCTTGATCGTTAGTTGATAACCATCACATTCTACTCATGTGCATCGACCGACCTTAACCTTTATGTTAATAATATCGCTTTCCAGCACAAACTCTCACATCACTGGATACATTGTTGTCATAGTCCCAAAGCGGTTTTATTGCAACCATATTCAAATTGCATCTTGTTGAGCAACGGAACGGCAACACACATCTAAATGACTCGCCATAGCAGTCTATTTTGACTCAAAGGCCGCATTAGCTTGTGGAGTTTCTTATCTTTAAATGGGTGTTTGGGAACCTATTTTATGTTCACCACTGTCTGACGTGACTTCTGAGTTTGCTGGAATCTGTGTTCCAGCACCGCGACTGATGTTGTTCACCATGGTCGTAACACTCACTCTGCTTTTCTGATGCGTGGCGCTGCATGCTTCGGCATTTGCTTCGTTCCTTTCAACACGCAAGTTACTGTTGCACGACCGGGTCAGCACTTCACTATTTCTGTCCATCATCGAATAGTCACCGGAATTGATTGCTCGCTTCACTTATTTTTGTACTTGTACCACCTATTGTGGCTACATCACTGAGGAGCTTACTAGGCGTACCAGCAGAGCCCGTCTGGCTTTTAAGCGGCTCAGACTCAAAGGACTGCTGACTGATAAGGCGTACCACGCTGCAGTATAACCGGTGTTACTGAACGGATCAGAAATGTGGCTGCTTTGCTCCGGAGCGCCGATGCTCACAGTTGGTGGGAGCACCGTACCACGAATATTTAAGTCCACTAATTGATCTTTGGAATGAAATCTTCTTGTGCGTCACTAGAATATGAACTAAACTTGAAACCCTTACGTTGTGTGGGTCATGTCCTGCGTATTATCTTTGACTGCCTTCTCCCGCGTGCGTTATATGCTGTCTCTGCACCTGATTAAACGAGACCGTGTAGTAGTCATAAAGGTACGAAGAAATTGTTCGAGCCGTTCGTTGGTCGTGCTATTGCTTGCAGCCTTGGTAGATGGGACCTTGAGAGATAGGCCACATCGTCGGCTGGAGACAGTCGAGCATAACGTGCAGTCGCGGCGACAGCGTTGTTACATCCAAGTATCAACATTCCATCCGGATTAACTTGGCTTACTTCCTCCCAGTTGCCCTTTCTATCTATCCCGTCTGCATTCTGTTTCATTTCCCCCACTATTTTTGTTTGCTGTTTATCCTGGCGACACGAGTAATGGCAGCCGAACCCACCTCCTGCACTTCGGTGTCCTAATCATGATTGGTGTTTACTTGGACCAAACAAAACTGATGATACTTTATCTGTTGGAGTCTTTTAAGGATACTATTAGACGAATCGAACCGCTGTTTTAAGCCGAACCTGCTCTTTTCGCTGGTGTACCGATTTGGAGCCGTTGAATCAGTTGCTCACACATCGTGACCGTGCACTTGTTTGATTGTCAGGTTTTGTGCTACCTGCCGTGTATCTTGCATTGTGACACACAATTTCAGTTGTGGCCGCGGTTGGCTTTGAAGTCCGCCTGTGCCATGCCGATCACTGGGACCGTCACCGAAGTGGATCATTTCGATGTTGCTATCTCCCATCCCTGCACCCTAAAACCGACGGTTTCGTCCTCGATTCGTCTCATCTATACCTAGCTCCATTGCTGATAGTTTTAATACACCATCGTTGTGTATCCTCGTGCTTATTTTCTTGGTATCGGTACAGCTGTGGGGTATAAGTAGGGTTCTGTGGCACATTGAACCGAATGTGGACATGTTAGCATAGGACCGGGTCGCTTCTGCAACATCTGGGCGATCGGACCCCGCCCCCTCTACCAGTGGTTTCTACATTAACTGCTCCAAACACATACATCAAAATTCCATTCTGGGGTTGCTTGTTCTCATCCACATTTTACTTATTCTTTTGCCACTTTAAAGCCATCTTCTTATTATCGAATGCATGGATTTATTGGGCACATGGACAGTGCACTGGCAAACCGGCATTGATGGTTTAGCAGGAGTGCCCGTTGTAAATCGCGGCGGAATTCTCATCACTCTGAAAGAGAAGCAAAAGAAAATGTTCAATTCCGGTAATCAAACTAAGCAGTTTGATTGCGATCAAACCCCTGCCATGGTAAGTGGTTCTTGTTGTCGATAGTGTTATTTTCCTCTTTAGACACTCTGATAATTGACCAATGATTTCCTACCCACCTTTCGTAAAACTCGATGTCATGGATGCCCAGTAGCCTAAGGGCTTTTTCTCGTCATTTGATTTCTTGGGAAAAGTTGTTGACCGATTTAAGTATTATTATTGTTATTATTATTATTGTTATTATGTTGTTGTTGTTAAATATGCGTAGGTTAACGAAACTCGCATGCATCCAGCTTTCGGTGCAGTGGCGTTGCAATTACTTTTCCGCCCCGGGGCAGTGGTAACATTTTCACCCTGACTGAGGGCAGAATAAGGGCGTGAAGGCCACACCATGGGCTCAGAGCAAAATGCGCATTAGTTTTGGATGAAATTATTAATCTTTTTGGGCACCTAAGTAGATGTGGTGAAAGTGACCACAATGGGACAGGTAATAATAATAATAATAGCGATCTATATTCTCAGTTTTACGAGGCGTGCCTTGTTCAGCATGATGCTATTATTACAATTGTTTCGTATAGTTTAACGGCGTATTCCATATGTCAGGCAGAAATAGAAAATCTTTTTTATCCGCCAGAGCTTGGCAGTTCAAAGCCTTGTTTGGGCACAGAATATATCATGACATCGACGGAGATCTCATTTTGCAGACGGAACGCAGTTTTCATTGCCTTGGGCGAAGGATGAGAGGCAGCTTTGATGATAGGAAAAGGTTAAAGCTGAAATCACACCATTTAAACAAAGCATCTGATGTAGTTAAATCATTTACTATACATTGTGGCGTTCTAAGAAGATTGGTGAAAGACGGGGGTATTTATTTACTTTCATTTCAGTAGCTGGTACATATGGGCTGAGACAGATATAGTGGTTGATTTATCCGTTATGTCTGAGGTGAACATGATTGGCACTTGTCAACTGGCGCAGGTATTTTGATATAATTGTACGCTAGGCGTAAGCGAGTAAGAGGACAAATGATAGAGAATTTTTTGAAGTAGTGGTGAAGATGTTGGAAACAGGATTCGTTAGCTTCACCGTGCTGCGTGACATGTTTACATATGAACAACATGGGAAGCATAGACGAGTAAGGGAAGAACGAATGGTAAAAGCAAATGAAGATGGATATATTCAGTCAGCGTTTCCTTATCAGCTCGCACTTTTTGGTATGGCTGCGAGGTAGGTGTGGCTGAGTAAACAGAATATGAAGGATTGGAGACAAAAATGGTTAACACAATCTCATTTCGCAATTCCTCTGCAGTCCACACTTGTTGGTGTGTCTGTGAGTTATGCTTTCCCGAGTAAAGAAGCAAAGTGGGTCGGGTGAAGAGAGTTCTGGCAACAATAAATCTATTTTCCAATACACTTCTTCAGAAAGGCCTGACCAACTGAATGCAATGTACGTAGCACATTTCATGTGTATTTGTCATCAACGCACTTACGTCTCGGCCCCCTCAAATAACACGTTTTCATTGTAATTTAGTTACAACAATGTTTTTACGTATTGTACTGTCAGGTACTTTGAAACTGCTATTTTAAACAGCGGTTGTGAGTCGCATGCTCTTATTTCAATAGAGAGGCTGTTCCGGATCTCAGTGTATCTGTTTAGAAAGAATTTTCTTCGGACATAAATTTTCGTTTTGATCACCGGGCGTTTGTTCTCGGTATTTCTAAGTGCGTAACTAGATTCTTTTTTGAAGTGAATATTGATAATTGGCGCAAAAACGCGCTTATAGATCAAAGCAAATTGGAATGTAAATCCAAGCTTCATGCGTCTTAGCCACAGTGGCTCTAGCTGTTGCATCTTACAACGTTCAGAGTAGTTGAGTTTAGATGAAGAGTTAAAGAGAATATTTGTGAAGGATCACTGAACGTTTTCCAGGCACATGACGGTCACCTTTCCTGTCACTTGTGAAACAAATCAAACAATACTCTAGTAAGGAGCGAACACTGGCCTTAAACAAGTGCAGTTTAGGTTCGCGCAACGAAAATCTTTTTAAGATGCGTTCTTCGCTTCTTCGTGATCTGGCCGTTATGAATGCAACTTGTTCACCAAAATCAAAGGTGTTAGATTACTGGATGCTTGGATCTCGTATAGTCTTATTACCAAGGCGAAATTTCGCACTTGGATGTTAACACACTTCACTTGTTCGCTGAGAAAAACATTTGCAAGTCAGTGTACCACGATTCCAAGGCCAGTAGGTCCACACGAATCTTTTCGAGGGTGTCGCTCAAACACCGGTTATCGAAGGTGTACAGTATTCTTATGTCATCCGCAAAGATACAGGTTCTCCCCAATTCTCTTTTTTCAGTTATATCATTGATATACATTAGGAAGAGCAAGGGACCTAACGCATTTCTTTGAATCACTCCACTTTTGATCTTCATTGTTGAATACACTATCACTTATTTGTACGTGCTGCGTACGATCAGATAGGTATGATTTGAACTATGAGTGCAAGGGATCAGTGATCCAGAAATTGGTTAACTCTACCAAGAGGTTGTTGTGCGGCACTCTGTCAAAGTACATCTGCATATCAATAGAGAGAATGGTGGCTGCTTTTCCATCGTTAGTGGAGCTTGTCAGATAGTTTAGAATAGCTGACAAGTCTGACATGAGCGACTTTGTGAAAACCCATGGTGAGCTGGGTTTATTAATTTCAAAGACAGCAAGTGCATAACATTTTTCTCTTTCGCAAATCTTTCCATTATTCTCGAAATAATCGTGTGGCTAATTAAACGGTAATTCTTATGTCTAGGTTCTGTAATAGAGAGTTTCCATTGACTCGGGAATATACCCGAATTCATGGACAACGTAAACACGTTTAGAAGCAAGAGCGATATATCCCGGCCACCAAACTTTATTAGCGATGTTGGTAGACCATCAGGTCCAGGATGGAACGAAGACCGTAACCGATCATTGTGAGTTTGAATTACGCCGCCATTAAAATGCACTGTGCTAAGGTTGCCGACATCAGTAGGGGCGCTAATCATGTGTGTGCCGATTGAGGTAGTAAACAAAGTGGAAAAGTGTTCATTCATGTGCTTCCCTATTATGGTAGGGCCCCTGCTCATAGATTTGTCAAGTAGTACGATGCATGATACCGATTTAGACTGTCGTTTTTGACCTTCAGTAGCTTGACAAAGGCTTCGGATTTATTGTCACTTATCAATACTCGCTTATCTTCTGTTAGTAGCACGAATCGACCGCAACTGGTCAAAGAGCTTATACTGTCTGATAAGTAAGGAAAATTTGCGAGTCTGTCTAATTTTTGAGCGAATTATATTCAGCTTACGCAGTAGACATTCTTCGCGCCTAGTTTTTATGAAAGCCTTCTTATCGGATCTCTGTACGAGTGGAGCAAGGCTATGAATACACTGTTGGATTTTTGCGTAAGCTTCGTCTGCTTCAACCTATGGATCCCTGATGAGAAAACAGAGATCCCAGCTTATTTTTCGCAGCAGTATAGCAAATGTGTCCCAATTTACATTTCTAAAGTCCCTGACCGGCTCTGTTAGTTGTCTTGTGTTACAAATTGGGTCGGGATTGAGTCTCATGAATCTGAAGTACACGACTATATGATCACTATCTGAGAAACGAGCTACTACATCTCTAAATGTGGGGTGTACGCCTTGGACAAAAATGCGACCTAGAATATTGTTTTCCCTGGTAGGTTTATGAACCACTTGATTGGACCCGGACTTCGGAGACGAAGTTCAACAGCTTTGGTGGTGCAATTGTTCATTACTTCTCCGAGCTTGGCGGTTTTGTTGTAAACATTTGACTACCATGCGAGGTGGCATCTTCATGCAGTGCGATGCGGCGTGTAATGTTATTGAATGAATCGTTCATCCGTGATCGACCTGCAGGTGACTTTTGAAAGTGGCAGTTTTTATTTGCATCCCGTGACATCTACCCACTTCCCCCATGACTGAACTCGGCGCCCGAGTTGTTCCGCCTTAAACTGCTTGACACTATGTTCTTTATTTCTTACTATCGAAGTAATTGGTATATTAGATCGATATCGACGCGCATGTTGATTGAGTTTCTTGTTGAGAACCAAGCTTCCAGGAATTCCCTTTCTTTTCTTGTTTTACCCCGTGCCAGGACTTATGTTTTGCTTCATTCGAAGCTATGTCCTTCTTCATCTATGTGTAATGTAACTAGCGACGATGCACAATACTTTACTCAGGCTCTTTTATGTTCTTTTATCCTCGTTGCCAGTTTTCTTCCCTTCTGGCCAACTTAATCCCTTTCGCAATCCCGGCTTTGGTGGTGCTGCTGTATACTCTGACCACGAAATCTCTGCTCAGTTATACTCCCCTCCGATTATCTTTTGACTGAAGCATAGGTTAGGAGCAAATTCAAAAGCAGAAGCTAGGTGTTCTAAAAGTAACGCGTCCTAACGAGGTGGATTGTAAATATATCCAACCAAAATTAGAGAGCAATTCATTTCAATAGAGATCCACACGGATTCATTTATTATATTGAGTTTCGGGTCTACTATTAATTGAGTACGGAGTTGGTCCCGTGCATAAATAACACACTTGACTCCCTTACCAACTTGTCGGCTGTTCATGAATGATGAATAGCCCACTATTTGGTAGAACTCATTTGGAGTGTGGGGGTCATGCCAAGTTTCAGTTATGAGTAGCAAATCAGGAGTTGTGAAAGTAAGCAGATGGTACAAAGTATGTATTGTATTATTTAGTGAGGGAGCATTGATAAGAAACAACTTGAAAGCACCTTGCTGGTGTGGCAGAGTTAGGACTTCATTGTTACTTACGGGTATGGCATTACTGATGCGTGCATCGGTATCCATGGTGGGGTGGGATGTTGGTGGAAAGCTCAGGGCACTAAGGCCGCAGTAAGACTGGCATAGTTAAGCTAAATTTAAAAGCTGGTTGAAAAAGAGATACCCCACTGGACTGGCAAGACTCGGCACTAGGGTTGGCGACCGTAGGTTCCAGCCGCTGCAATAAAACTGCTCTGGTTTGGTTTCGAGTTCCACATATTGGTGGCCGTGGGTGCTACATAGGGTTCCATCAGGCCTACAGGTTTTGATATATTGTTTTTGGTGATGTAAAGTTTAGATCATTAAATGGTATGAGCCGTCTCAGCGACTGACATTGGGAGTGCAAGGATTTAACATCGGATGAATCTGATAAACAAAGGAGCAATGGGCCGGGGTACTCCGCTATCAATGGTTGGAGTCTTATGCCTGAGATAAGGCATCATTTTAAAGTTAAGTTCCCTCTGAGTATTCGCAGAATATTGGCTAATTTATACACATTAAAAGTGGGTTTTTTATTGGGCCAGCATTCCACCGGAAAGGACTCGTTTCTTTTTTCGGCATCGGTTTGTAAAATCCTGATCTTTCATTTGGCTTAGATAGTTCAGTGTTTAGCTTGCTAACGTGCCTGACATCTTTGAGCGTATCTTCATTCAAGACTATCATATATTCTGACTTGGTTGCGCAGGGAATCTTCTCCGCGGCGTAACTCGAATCCGGTACCTTAATGTCATTGAGGTCAACATTATGTGGTTAAGTTCAGAACGAACATCGGTTTTTAAAGGCAACTGTTCAGACTTTGTGCTCACATGAGTTGCTACATAGTTTTATTTTCCAGGACTTCTCCTTTTAGTCGAGTCTGATCTGCACTAATTACTGCGGATTTGAATTCAGTAATAGTTACAATTAGATGCCGGTTATTAATGAACGATCGGGCAATCGCAGAGGTGTTGAACTTCAGCAATATCGGGCAAGTGTTTTTGTGTAAATTCTTCCGTAGTCTTACAACAACACAGTCTGCGTCACATGAGGAAACAGCCGATAAAAGTTTATGCCTTAATATATGCCTTACTTTACCAGGTACCTATTCAAAATATTAAAAATGACAACCTTCTTAGACCGTGTAAGCCTTTGTGAACTTCAGTGGCAATGGTCGCTATGAACTTACCGGCTTTATTCAAGTGTTCAATGCATTGGGTTTGAGGCTGGTCCAGAATGCACGTTAGTGGCGTTAGCTGTCTTATGATTGGTTCCATAGCATTCATTTGGGTTTTGAGGTCTCTTAACTCTCTTTCCATGGACAATGTTTTACTGGATATTTCAAGTGCTGCGATGAACTGCACAGGTGTGACGAATGTCATAACGCGTTGTCGGACATACAGAGTGATATTAACATCTACCCCCAGCCTATACTGCTATTTCGCTCTGTATATTTGGTATTGAATAATCGACGGTACTAAAAATGCCACCCCCTGTCACATGCCGCCCTAGGCGGACCGCCCACCCCCGCCCCCCCCCCCCTACACTACGCTTCTGCTTCACTGCAGTGTTGAACCATGTCAACCACAGGCGCATCGTCCGCGGGTAGAATGTGACCACACGTATCATACATGGAACATCACACATCACGAATTTTCGCATGCCCCACTGCATCTTAATTGACAGGTACACTTTCGATGAGCGGAATAAGAAAATGAAATTCTTTCGTTCCACTCAAACTCAGCGATTTTCTTTTTTCACGATTTTTGAGTAAAATGGCCACTTCTGCAGACCAACCGATTGGTTATTTTAATCTGTACCCGCTCATTAGTCAGATGTTCTTTCATATATATATATATATATATATATATATATATATATATGAAAGAACATATATATATATATATATATATACCTGTACTCGAACCTGTGGTTCCGCAATTTTACCCCTTGTTTTTCGCGTTTCGTGCCTAATTCACTGCCTCTTCTTATTGAGTTGATTGGGTGATCTGTATTTGCATGCTTTACAGCTTTTTTTATCCACTCCATTAGCTGCGTTCTGTGTTTTACATAAAATATGCTGTTGCTGCCAAACGCGTGTATATAACGAGTGAACATTCACCCCTTTATGTATACACACTTGATTGTGGTTTTTGGCCGATCATCTTCGTCCCTTTGGTGAGGCACATCAGATCTAAGCTGAAGATGTTCCGAAACTGCATGCTTGGCGTCTGCATGACAACCTACTGAGACGGAGGCTGGAAATTGTTTTGTGTGGTCAAGTGTGACTTCTGAACTGTTTCACTTTTTAACTTGGGTGATATTTTCAGATTTCACAATAAGTGCGAATTCAGACCCATCTGGACATCAGTTTCTCACTGTGTTATTTGAATTGTGCAACCAAGCTTCCGTTTGATAGATGCGGCTATCCTAGTGTTAGATTTAACCAAAGATTTCCCGGACTGTGTAGACCAGAGCATGTTGTTGAGACTGCTGAAAACATGTCTCGTAATATTCGCATCCACCGACACAAACCAGAGCCGCCATGCATTTGGGTGATGATGATATTGGAAGGGAACACGTTTAAATGTCCCTCCGACAATCAACTTTGGGAGTATGTTGAATCACGGAACAGCGCGCATAGTGCGACGTGAGCTGTAAGGTTCATTCGTTTCAAACTCGTTGATAATCGATTCATCTGCGCTTAGAATGCAAAAACTTTCCAACAACTAACATTTTACTTTCTTTTACAGAATATGGTGCACGAAATCGACGCCATTCTATCCAAACACTAGTTTTCGTCTCCGCTTATGTCCAGTCAACAACCTCTTCCCTCAGGTCCTATGATCAAGACATCTCCAGGCCTCTAGAGCGCTCATCGAAAATGTTGCCATTTGTTTCCTATTCTTTTATGTGCATCTGCACAATTTACCTCATGATTTCTGCTTGAACACAGTTTGAAATCCCCATATTTCAGAGTTTCTGCCTATTCTTACTTTTGCATGAATTTCGTATTGCTTTCAAACTGTTCCGGAGTTCTGCTTAAGTGGTGTTTCCGACCTCCAATATATGCTTGATGTTGGCAACAAAGTAGTTACGATTGCGATTGTTTTAACGTTAGACTGTGTGGTAGCAAGTGATACAGAGCCGATTACATTGTGGATATCCAACGGCCAGAACAAATAATGATTCGAGCATCACTTGTTACGTTTGGTCGCGTGGGTAAGTACTTGGGCGACGTCCTAACTACATTAGATGCGCTGTTAATGAGGCCACTTAACAGGCTTTCCAAATGAACAAAACCATTTGACTATTTTTTAAACTTTCTTTTGCCGGAGCCCAAGCCGCGGTTCCAAGTGGCAGTGGGATGCAGGGAACAACAATGCAACAACACAGCAGTACATGAGACATTTGAACTAATGCTTTGCTGCAATACAACCACAACGACCTACGGAACCAAGATTGATATGGGGGAGAGGACAAGCATTCAGGATCTAGGTACCTACACCTTGTATCGACAACATACCGTCACAAACAGTTGGCTATCGTGCAAAGATAAGGTGACATCGCTTCCTTGCGGCTTTAATCGCCCCGTGTCATAATCAGCCATTAGCCCGCTGGTAACAGCACCAAATACACTTGAAACAAGCACTACGACTAGGAGACGACAGCAGACGCGCCACTGGTGCCGACTGCGAGCCATGCCTTGTAACGTCTGGAGCCAACTACAAGCTGGATGCAGGGAAGCGTTTATTTTGTGCAGTAAAAGGTTTCCTGTTGTTCCAACTATGAAAAACAACCTCCAGGAGTATTGCTAGCCAGAGGAACGGAATTACGTAGCGCACAATGTGGCGGCGCGATTGAGACCAGCCGAAGCACCCATGCGGTTCAACGTTCTGCAGCAATTGCTTAAATGTACAATGCAGTAGTAACTTTACTTAGTCTTCTACACAATGCACTCAAGAAAACCGGGGAAATCTTCAGACTGCTACAGTTCATCTGGCAAATGGTGATAGTAATAATAGTGACGCGTATTTATCGTGAGAAGGATATGCACTCCTCCTGTATATCTCTGATCAATGTGTAAATTCTGATGTGCAGTAATTTCGAGTGAATCCCACACCATTGTGGGCCATGGCGGTTATTCGCTTCCACCCAAGACCTGGCGTCTTACGCTGCTGCCTAACATTGCGGGCCGTTAATGTCAATATTTCATGAGCTCGGTTTCTGATGGAGCCGATAGGTGCACTTTACTGGCGAGTCCAATTTTGACGGAGCGGTCGTCTAGGGCTTTTCCGGAGGCATTGTAGGCTATCTGGCTTGAAATTTACTGCGATAAATTCTCAATGCCATTACCTCAAAATTTACTCATTAATAATTGATAACTGCGAAACAATTGATCGTTCGCAGCGGAGCACTCCAAGGTTGGTTGGGAGTCTCAACACTGAGATGAGAAACGCTTGACACCAAATTCTCAAACTGATCCTTCTTGGTTTAAACCATCCACAACAACGGCAAAACGAGAAAGGTGCCAGCTTTTCGCTGTGTTGATGTGTTTAACAAATTGAAACTTTTTGAATGACTTACACAAAGGAATAGGTAGTGTAACAAAATACTGGCCACGTTGTGTATTTTCAGTCTTGTTGAGAGGCTCCTCGACATGAGAGGACGGAGTGGAGATGAAACGAGTCATCACCCACGGCAAGAATAATGTAAGAACCGGCCCGTACGCAAAACTTTTGCTTGACGAGGCCAGCCCGAAGCTGGCTGGTTGAGTAGCCTGAAAGATATGTATTCGCCCGAATATAGATCCATCTGACTGTAAGCGTCTCAAGTCTGCCACTACTGAGCTGGAGCAAGGAACCCGTAAAAGTAGGTTACCTACCATCATCATATGAACTTGAATTCGGATTAACCGGTCGCACACGCTCCTGGCAGGTCCGGTAGTTCCTGACATAGCTGTTGTGTAGCCTTCACCAGCGTCCGCAGTTATATGAACAAGCGGGCTTAGCTGTACCGCTTCATTACATCTGAACGGCTAGACTTAGTGAGACTCAATGAGACGTGGCTGAATTATAAGACGATCGAGTAAATCGAGCCTAATGAATATCCGAGCTTCCGCTGTGATAAGCTATCGAATGACGGCGGTGGTGTCTTGCTCTACATCTGGTTTTTTCTTTGTGAGAGAATTGTAAGCGCTTACCGAAGCGACGACGATCTATGTGAGCAGCTGTGGTGCTCGAACCATTTCCGGCGCGCAAAGTTCTCACGGATGCATTTTATTTCACTCCTATACATAAATGGTATATTCCTCGGCGATTCGAGGTGCAGTTCAACTATGTGGTTTGATCAATGTGTACAACAGGATCGCAAAAAATAATCAATTTGTTCACGCTATTTCCAATGGATCCAAAACAGGTATTAAAGTGGCAGGATTAAGGTATTAAAGAAATTAAAAACCCAGGAACAATAAAAAATGCAGATTTAAACAAATGTCCAGTTAAAGTAATACGGCCACTCGTGGAACCGTCCCTAGGAGACCTGCTTCCGTGCAAGGTATTCCCTCGAAAGATTTCGCCCGCACTTCTATGCTCTACCTGGCCGCGTGCCGGTGTGACATAGTAGCAAATGAGCCATCACCTGTTTATCATATGTTGTGTTCTTTTCAGGGCTTCTTTTATACGTGTATTATGAGCGATGAAGCCTCAGCCCAGTCCGTCACGCGGGTCGTTCAATTATGGCACTTTTTTATACACCAGTCAATTTGTGGCAATAAACCTTGCATAGGTAAAGTCTTTTATAATCTGGAAGCTTTCAAACCGTCACAAAAGGAGATCAGCCCAGTCGTGGCCAACAATGAAATAGGAAAGAATGTAGAAAAAGTAGAATTATGTGAAAGTGGTACTATATCGTTAATGTAAATTGTACTGTTGCTTGGGTTACTTACATCATATTCCGCTCAAGCGTAATTTCATTGGTTCTCAAGTACGCTGGCCTGAAGTCCAGCGCATACCCGGACATTGTGAGTTCGAGCCGCAGTTCGTTGAAAATGTTACTTGATGCTGGAGTGGCATAGCCTAGTTGCATAGGTTCGCACCTAAGTTCACCGTGCTTGAACCTGAGTTGCGAACAATATATGTAAAACTGCAGGTCACCACTCAGCTTCCATGACTGGATCCTGCGTACAACTACTTGAAAACGGACTTCGACTGTCTTTCTGAAGCCGCAAGCCTATTGGATCGATGTGTGCTGCAAACTGCATCTTTTGACGCCTATTAATCGGTTATGAAGGAGGGAGCAAACTGATTACGCCATCAGTTTGTACCCCTAAAGTGTCCGAAGTTAGACCAGTGAAGCCAGATTGGTCCGGTGACGACGCAGACTACGACAATATTTTCCCTGGCTCTGTTGACGACCACGAGGTGTATGAGAGGCAACAGTACGAAAACGAGCATGCGCCGGGCAGCTTTCAACCACCGCGTGAAGCAGTATCTGCATCCTGCAGATGATCAACCAGTGCCTTTGAGTGGGAACAGACAGCCCCTAACTTCTAGCGCTGAACGTTTGTCCGCGTTGTCGGCTCACTTCACTTCCGTGTTCGCAAATTACCAAGTGTCTGTATTTAGTCCGGTGTTTCTCGTTTGCATTGAACCCGACAATATGAATTGCGGTGTTGAACAGGTGCATCTGCTGGTCGACATTCTTGACGGTAGCAAAACCACTGACCCCGATCGGCTGATGCTCTGGTCGTTATCAGCCATCGTCTTGCTGTCTGAAAGTTCATTTCCAAGCAATGGGGAATGTTCGGTGGTAAAAATCGACTTGTAAGGAAGCATCTGATTCGGTTGTTAAAGTTCGAATATCTAACGGCCATACGACACAGTTTTCTGCTGGGCCGGTCATGTATTGCCAATGCGCTCGTGATGAGACATGTACGGTTGCAAGTATGAAATCGGGAGAATTCTGCCGATGTGATTTACGTCAATTTCAGCAAACCATTCGACAAGACGAACAATGAGTTTCTCCATAGACTGTGAATATACGTTATTGGTGGTTCAGCTGGATCGGTGGATCCGGGAATTTCTCTTGTCCACCGCGAACTCAGCCATTCAACACGACGGTTCACAAACACATCCGCGCAAATCCCTAGCCCCTGATGTGTCTGCCGTTAGGCAGCAAACGGTTTATGCAGGTTTGGTTGCTAGTTAATTACCATGATCTAAATACTTGGTGTCAAACTATCCATCAGCAAACGTTCCAAAAACTATTAACCACTGACCGCTTGATGTGAATTCTCTCGCTCTATCCATGCATTCATCACACTTATGGTTTTGGAGATTTTCCAGGGTTTGTTTCACAAATTGGCAGAATTGCAACTCCGACCTGATTGTCATCACGGAAACATGGTTACGCTGCGAGATAACAGATGTCGGCCGGTGGACGCAAGGAATGTACGCCGGTTCGAATTCGCGTAGGGGCAGGTGCGGTATACTCAGCCCACACTCGACCGCTAGTGGTCGCGTTGCTATGAAGCGTCGGTACAGTGTGCCGGCGTACTGCCGAGGACATTTTTGTGAGGTAACAGATGCGAAATCGCGCTAAGTGCTATGTCCGTTTCTGGAATGTCCGAGCCAACACAGGTGGTGTGGTAGCTCTCTACTCCGGTAGCGACCTCCATTGTGAAAACATACAATTAGTGTCTAATTCTCTTTGATGTCGCCTACGGCTGAGTGCAAACGATTTTCCCCTTGTGGTCTTTGTTTATCGCCCCCATCCATACCTGACATGGACTTCA